TGTGAGCCAGAGGCTCAAAAACTGTGAGCTAGCTCACACTAACTCAGCTTAGAGGGAACACTGCTCCAGAGCAAACTGATTTATGCAGCAGCCAAATGGCTCGCTCACAACTTTAATTCCAGTAGCTCACAAAGTAGAATTTTTGCTCACAAGATGCCACAGCTTAGAGGGAACATTGGTGGGCACGCGTGCCATCGCCCCAGTCAGGCCCAAACCGTCATTAAAGTGTGGAATCCTCTGCCAAATAATTTTAAGTCAATGAAAGCATTTGGGATTGCTTTCCTTACTTTGTTTGGATCCTCTTAAGTTAATGTATGAGTTGTTTTTTCTAAAGTAAAACCTCAGGATTCAGGTTAAATGGCCGTGTTGGCACTTTGTGATGAATAAGTGGGTTTTGGGTCGCGGTTTGGGCACGCGGTCTCTAAAAGGTTCGCCATCACTAGCTTAGAGGGAGCATTGGTCGCAATCCCAGGAGACCTCCAGCCCCCATAACAGAAAAGGGCTATACAGCGGGCGTGATATACTCCGCCTGAAAGGTAAAGGTTCCCTTGCTCGAAAGCCAGTCGAGTCCGACGCTAGGGTTGCGGTGCTCATCTCTGTTTCCAAGCCGAAGAGCCAGCGCTGTCCGAAGACGTTTCCCTGGTCATGGGGCCGGCATGACTAAACACCAAGGCGCACGGAACGCTGTTACCTTCCCACCGAAGTGGTACCTATTTATCTACTTGCGATTTCTTGCTTTCGAACTGCTAAGTTGGCAGGAGTTGGCAGTCTGAAAGACGCTGCAGTTTTTAAGGAACATACACAACATTCTGTTTGAAATTACAAAAAGCCTCTTAACTGTTCCTTAAAGATGCAGTACCAGCACAAATTGAATGTAAACCTATGAAGCTAAACCATAATACATGAGGTTAACTACATAGTATTAACCACAGCAACAGATGTCCCAGGTAAATCTCCCTTTCGACCCTTCATCAGGCCCTAATCCAGGGCAGTGTTCCCTCTAAGATGAGTTGGTGTGAGCTAGCTCATAGTTTCTTAGCCTCCAGCTCACACATTTTTGCCTTCGCTCAGGAAGGAGGGCTCCAGAGCAAGCCGATTTATACAGGAGTGTTCCCTCTAAGCTGAGCTGGTGTGAGCTAGCTCACAGTTTCTTAGCCTCCAGCTTACACATTTTTGCCTTCGCTCAGGAAGGAGGGCTCCAGAGCAAGCTGATTTATACGGGAGCCAAATGGCTCACTCACAACTTTAATGCCAGTAGCTCACAGAGTAGAATTTTTGCTCACAAGACTCCACGGTTTAGAGGGAACATTGATCCAGGGGTGTCAAACGTGTGGCCCAGGTGCCAAATCAGGCCTCCCGTAGGGCTTCCATCAGGCCTGCAGTGGAACTGGCCGTCTTCTGCTGCTTCTTCCAGTTCTGCTGCCGCCACCTCATCATAGGTTTGCAGCTTACAGATGCAAACCTGAACAGCATACTCAAGATTGCAACGGCACAGACATTTTGATGCAATAATTCAGAGCAAGAGGTGTCAGCTATCAGACACTGTTAAATAAACAAAATACTGCAAGAGTGCTAATGTTTTAAGCATGCTTTCATTTTAAGTTTAAAAAAACACCTTTCTGTTTGTGTCCTTTATAAAGTTTACATCTCCGCCATCTGGCATTACATTTTATGACACACATGGCCCAGCCCAATAAGGTCTCATTTATGTCAGATCTGGCCCTCATAACAAATG